CTCCCCAGTCCTTAGCCAATTATCAACAATTTTTGTCAAAGACTTTCTATTTCCCTTGCTGCTTCTTTCATAGTACTGGAATCAGATTTATCTGGGCTAAATGCCCAGTTCTAGTTAGCTTTTCACCCTTCTGAAATTATCAGCTAGAATTCACCCCAGCTAAGCAGTTCTGGTGGAGAAAATAAATACTGATATTAAGTAACAAAAGAGAACTGTCTTCATCTATAGCCAGCAGATTTATAGTTCTAGATTCTTATCTGTTCTGGCAAAACAGATTGTTAATAATTTGGGGTGCTTTAAATGATAAACAAAAATATCAACCAAAATCAATAAACATCAACCTCCCTGATAACTCATTTCTTTGTTTTATAGAGTGGTGAATCAAGTGTCCTGGAAGTCCCTGTCATTGCACTGTGTTCTATCAGAACCTCTGAAATATGCTGCTTTCATATGGAAAAAACAAGCTATATGTACTTGGAGTTGCTTTTCCAGCAATGATGACTGATTTGCCCTGCAAATTGACCTTTTCTCACCCAGTCTTCTTTGTGGCTAGTGGTCCTCATTTGCAAGATGATGGGATGAGGTTAGACATACAGTTCATGAACATGGGGGAGAAAACCAAGTGGCACACATGGCCAGTTCAACTTGTGACTCATTTGTACTACACACAGACCAAATGCACCCATTGCTCATAAGATAAAACAAAACCAGCAAGGAAACAAAGGCCTTAATTATTCTTCAGCTCTTTTTGCACACTGGCAAAGTGAAGCTTATTGCTTTCAGAATCTTAAGGAAAAACATTTTCTACTGATAGATGATTGCTAATCATCAGGAGTGTTCTCTGGCATTTCTGTGAATATGTCATTCCCAGCTAAACTTCCTTTTTTACTTCTTAAACTTAATTATCCATTAAAAACATGTTTCGGAAAAGATGACCCTGCTATTTGGAGTGATATTACAACCTGTCATCAATCCACAACCTTGTGGGGGTAAAACTGTATTTTTGAAACAAGTAGCACCATTTATCTCTGCTTAAAGATTGAATTAAAGATGGTCTGTGTGAAAGTTCAAGCCCAGTTCCATACAAGCTGGGGACCAGCTTCCAACTGCATGGCTTTCAGAGGAATTATGATACCATCTTATTGTGGGATGCCTCTGAACTGACATTTCAATTGTAGTTTTCTGGTGCCTTCCTCTTTACCTCATTCCTCCCAACCACCTTCCATCCCCAGCTCCAGATCAAACCCTTGGAGAGCGATGAACTGAATGGACACCACATTCAGCTGAGTCCACTAAGCACTGTGACTTGATTTCTGGCCCCCTCCCTGAGCCTTGCAGCCAGATTAGTCAGTCTCCCTAGCCCAAAGCACACACATTCTTGGCTTACTCCTTCAGGCCAATCATCGCTTGAGGTCGCACAAGCCCCTGGCTATGGCAATGCCAATTATAACAAGCATGGCTTGGTGACCTCCTAATTGTATGAAACCAATTACATTATACTTGTTGTTCATTCAACAATAAACAGCTTTTGTGCCCACTAAATTGGGGCATACTATAAATTTGCTGAGTGTAATTTGGCAATACTTCTCCAAATCATTAACTGCTTAAGGCTTTTTAAATAAAGCCGATCTTTGTGCTTCTTGCCTTCAGAGCATATTACCTTCTTGTGTATGTTTTCCTACCCATTTCATTACATCTTACTTATGATGTTTCTGCACAATGTTTCCCCATATACCTCAGGGCCCTTATGTTTTTCTGAATTCCAAATGAAGCTGAGAGGTAGGATGAAGGAGGGGTGGAACTCACCAGATCTGCACTAAATTCCTTTCTCTTTTTGATTCAAAATTCCAGCACAATGAAAAGCAATGAAAGGATAAATATGTGAGTAAATCTAAATGAATACTGACTGTATAAAACAATAGGAAGATCTTTTGGGATTTATAAAATATTTGGGATTTATAAAATATTTATAATTAAAATACATGAGAATACATGAGAATAATAAGTTGGCAGGAAAGTAAATAGAGTTTAAGTACTTGAAGGTCCTTGCATTGTCAGGGAAGAGGTAAAACTACTAATTTATTTTAGACTTTGATAAATCAAGGATGCATGTTAAGTAGCCCCTAGGGAAAAAACTAAAGGAATAGTAAAAGCAGAAAACTACAAATCTAATACAGGCGAGAAATGGAACAATACAAAATGGTCCATTATTTTAGAGAGAAGGCAAGAGAGGAAAGAAAAGGAAACTAAAATGTGCAGAACAAATAGAAGGCAAATAGTAAAATGGCAGTTTAAACCTAATCACAGCAATAGTTGCATTAATGTAAACAGATTAAATGGTCTTACTAAAAACCAAAGTTCTCAGGTTGATTACAAAAACAAAACCCAAATATGCTGTTTCAAGAGAAACAATTTAAATGTAAGGATGGAAAGAAAAATAGGTTAAAGAAAAAAGATGAAAAATGTACTATGCCAACACTAATCAAAAGAAAATTGGCTAGCAATATTAATATCAGACAAAGTTGACTTTAAGGGAAAAGGGATTACTAAAGAATAAAAAATACTATGTAATAATAAAAGTTTTGATTTACCAGGAAAATGCAGAAATTCAGAATTTAACTGCATTTAATCACACAGCCTCCATATAGACAAAGCACAGATAGGTAGAACTAAAGGGAAAATGAATACACACAATTACACTAAGAGATTTTAACATACCTCTCTTAGTAACTAAATGAACAAACATATATTTTCAGAAATGAATAGAAAATATGAATAACATGATTACAAACTTTGAACTACTTGACATAATATAGAACACTATAGAATACATAACCTATTCAAGCATTGTGAGAACGTTAAGAGAGAATGATTAAATGCTAGCCTTAACGAAAGTCTAAATACATTTCAAAAATTACAATATACAGATTTTTGTTCCCTCACTACACTTCATATATAATGGAAATGACAATGACCACAATGAAACTAGAAAAATCCCCTTCTTTCAGAAAAGGAGACATACACTTCCAAACAACTCATGGTTTAAGGAAGATAAAATTGAAATTTGAGACTATGTCAAACGGAATGAAGATGAAAATATCACATATGAAACCTTGTGAGGAAAAATGCCAACCCTTAAGAAGGCCTATATCCCCTCCTTCTCTCCTTACGTATCCTTCTCTTTGCCCCCACTCTACTCAATTTAGGAGAGAAGAAAATATAAATGAGATTTGTATCTGAGATAGTCTGTTATGAAAGTGAACTTTAGGGTTTTGAGAAGAAGGAAAAAGTCTTGACCGTGTCTTTCCAAAGGCAGAACTAGAATAAATGGGTAGAAATTTAAGGAAGGCAGATTTTTAGTTCAGGGTAAGAGAAGAGTATGGTCATTGGACACTTTAATATGTTAGGAAGTAGTGAGGTTCCTATCACCAGAAATACACAAATGGTGCAATGTGGATTGCAGTAGCAGGTGGGGATATGACCAGTCATCTGTGTTGAAAAATGATGTTAAGGCACTGCATGCAAACATGGCAGAATGTTAACAATTTTTGAATCTGGATGGTGGGTGTTCAATATTCATTGTATTGTACATTCAACACTGAGTTTGAAAATGTTAACTAAGGATGCCTGGGTAGCTCAGTTGGTTAAGCATCTGCCTTTGGCCAAGGTCATGATCCCAGGGTCCTGGGATCAAATCCCACCTCAGGCTCCCTGCTCCTCCTTTTGCCTCTGAATCTCTCTCTCTCTCTCTCATGAGTAAATAAAGTCTTAAAAAAAAAGAAAGAAAATGTTAATTAAAAAACTGAAAAACAGGGCGTCTGGGTGGCTCAGCTGGTTAAGTGTCTGACTCTTGGTTTTTGCTCAGGTCATGATCTCAGGATCTTGAGATCAAGCCCCACATCATGCTCAGCTGGGAGTCTGCTTGTCCCTCTCCTTCTGCCCCTCCCACAGCTCTCTCTCTGTTGAATAAATAAATAAAGTCTTTTTAAAAAATTGAAAAACAGGGGCACCTGGATGGCTCAGTCAGTTAAGTGTCTGCCTTTGGCTCAGGTCATGATCTTAGGGTCCTGGGATCAAGCCCTTCGTTGGGCTCTCTGCTCAGTGGAAAGTCTGCTTCTTCCTCTCACTCTCCCTCTGTGTTCTTTCTCTCTCTCTCAAATAAATAAATTAAATCTTTAAAAAAATTGAAAAACAGATGCTGCATCCACCTGAATATAGAGAGTTGTAAGGATTCAACAAAATGAATGAATGTCTATATGTTCTCTCGTTTGACACATGATGCACATACATATATCTTTGTACAGTTGTGATGTTTACTTTTATACTTTCATAATTTATCCTCTAACATCTGAAAACCTTGCTCTATGGTAAAGTATAGCAAGGAAAGATCTTGTCTTAAGTGGTTATTTATTTTATCCCTCTTCCTTGAGCAATGTGACAGTCAAAACCTAGACTTATTCCTTGTTCTGTATGAATGATTTTTCAGGAGGAAGGCTCTGCAGCTTTCATCATATTAAGGCATAAGGTTATTCAGTGACTAAAATGTTAAATTTGAACAACTATCAGCTTGTGTCCAAATCCTTCATATACCCTTAAACCAAGTGAGATTTGACTTTTTGGTTTTGTTTCAAATGGATACTATGGTTGCCATTTTCCCCAAGTTATTCATGAATTATCATGCACATCTGAATTTAATTTGCTGATAAATTGTGTTTGACATATGTAGGCTATGGGATATCCCCCCCCGTCTATATTAAAACACTTTCAGTGTTGTGAGGTAATAGTACTCAAATAACTCCTATGAGTTCAAGGAGTACCTAAAGGCAAGAGGGAACTAAAGAAAATACTGTTCAGTGAAACTGTTGACCCTGTGAGGGTTTCAATCCTAAAGACTTCTCAAGCTAGCATATAAAATAGTCTTTGGACTTTTAAGTGAATTTGGGGCATTTTACCTTACATTTCCATCAGAGACAAAATTATGTTTGGACTATACATTCCCTGTGCTCACTTCGGCGGCATAACATATACTAAAACTGGAATGACTCAGAGAAGATTAGCATGGCCCCTGTGCAAGGATGACTTGCTAAGTCGTTGACTGTATGTTCTCTGAGATCTCTTTCAGTTTTAAAAATCTGAAATTAAAGCTCACTTTACTGAATTCCTGAACGCTATTGTAAAACATATTCATTTTCCAGCTCTTACCTCTTCTGCCCTCTCTACCTTAAAATATTGGATCCCGGGAAACCTGAACAACATGCTCTTGCTTTCTGGGGACCATGATCATAGATCTCTATTTCTTCTTCCCTTCTTTTTCATTTTTCAGCAGTGGCTTCTGATCTGTAGAGTCAAAGGAAGGTCTAAAAATGGACTCATCTTTCAGGATTAAATGGCTGTGTTAGCAGAGCGGGATGAATAGAAAGTTCTCTTCAATGTTTAAATGCACTACTGTGTACCTGTAAAGTTACATACTTTCAGGAATTTAGAGTTGCTTAATGCCTGTTTGGCAGCATAAACTCTGAAAAAGATCTCATGGGGAAACACACCCTGTACATGGTTTCTATGTCTGTAGAGTACAAAGGGAGATGGACCTGTGCCAGTTATACAGTTGATATGTTAAAGGTAGACGCCAAACTAAGTCAGTCTTTAAGGGAATTTCTTGGTATGCATAAACACAGAAGAAAAAAAAGACTATGTTCTTAGATCTGATACACAAACACACACACACACACACATACATATATAGGGCACCTATAAGTATATATATTCTTAAAATGGTTACTGCATGGAGGTCATCCATAGAGTCTATCATATTCCAAGTTTTCATTTTGGAAGAAAATGGAAAAATTGAGCAATTCATAATGTTAATTTTAAAATTAGCCTGGACTTATTTTTCCTTAGAAATGTAATAATTTGTTTATGGAAACCCTTAAATGAAAATCTTTGGCTTCAGGCATGTATGTGGTTAATGTGGATGAATGTGAGGCTGCCAGAGAGGTGTAGGGATCACTTTCAGAACTACAACAATCACACTATTTTCTCACTGCACACAATTTTTAAATTTTAAATGATTTTATTTGAGATCATTTCTTTAGTTGCTTGTGCTAGCTTTTTTCTAACCTTATTACACCAAGAATTTATTATACCAAGAATTAGAGTTGATAGGAGGACTTGTTGATCTTTTTAGAAAGTCTGAGAACCACAGAATAAATTTTTTTTATGCAACTCACTGACAGAATGATATGAACTATAATTGAGACAGAAGAGTGGGTAAGATCACAGGTTTTAGCATCAAAGAGGTCTCAGTTCAAATCCAAGCAACACCACATTTTAGGTGTGTGTTCAGGGCAAGTTCTTTTACCTTTCCAAGTTTCAGTGATAAAAGTCTGTCAAGTAGAGATAATACCCATCTCATAATGTTATTGTGAGTACTAACTGAAATAACACACCCCTCAAAGTGGTTGACACTACATGCTCAATAAATTGTACTTAACATGGTGAAATGGCTATAAGTCGGTGTACATCAGGTTGGTACTATTCTTGTCTACAGACCAAAGGAAGCAAAAAACTGCAGAAAGTCGGGGCTTTTAATATAATTTGTTATGCACTTGTATATAATTATATATCCTATCTTTGCTTCCTTGCTCAGTGTCATATTTTGAATGTGGTCTGTTATGACTGAAATCCAATCGGGATGAACATCACAGCTTTGGATGACTTCCATCCTTTGGCATATTCCAGGTGAACAGATAGGAGAATAGGCGAAATCAGCTTTTCTTTCTTAAAGCTATTTCTTATTAGGGAAATTGCAAACATTCAAACAAAAGAGATATGGCAAAGCAAAAAAAAATCTAGCATATTTTGCATTTCATAATATTTTGTGATATGAAAGAACAGTTAATGGCTGTAGGACCCCCTTCATGGCAATGGAGTGTTAACGTTTATAAAGACTACTTAGCAAACATAGCTTTAATTGGAGCTCTAATTAGAACCTATATGTAACTCTGAGAAACAACTTTTGTGTGAATAAGTTCCAACTATGAAAAACCTATGAAGATATAAATTTCAGCAGCAATTTTTATTATACTGGCTATGTTAAGGACATTATGGTCATCATCTTTCAAGGCAGTGATGAAGTTATAATAAGAACTAAAGAACAGATGGGGAGTATTTTCAAATGTAGTGGAAATAAGCACATGTAAAGTTAGGGCAAGTATTTCTGGTTGTTTATTCATAAGGATGAATACATAAGATGAAAACATCGATGTCTGACTTTTCAAATGAGCGGGAGTCTCCACAAAACATCATGGTGATCTACATAATCACTTGTGGTTGATGAAGCATCCATTTAATCATATCATACAGGAGAGTTTGATTTGGAGCCAAGTTTTGTTTTGTAAATGCTATGCTAGTAATATGGCAAAACCATGGCATATTAAAAAATATTCTTTTGGTATATTAATTTTGGTTTTCTTCAAACACTAAATGACCTCTTCCCAATGCTTTCATTATAGTTACAGGCAAATTATGTATGTGGACACGACAGACTCTTGTTTCCATATTAAGGGTTTAACAGAGAAAATCAACAAAAATAGTGAAAGAATTTAAAGCATGAGGAAAAACACTATGCCTATGGTGACAGTGTGACAAACCAGCAGGTGGCTAGGCTGACTTCCCTCTGTCATCTTTTTATTTATTCTATCTTTCTCTATCCTGCATTTCTGGCTCCTTCTTCCTATTTAAATGTTCAATTTTACATTTGCCCTTTCAGACAGACCATTCTTCTAACTTGAGAGTTCTGACTGCCGTCACATCCGAGGTAGCGTTAGGACATCTCCCACTGGTTTGTAGGTCTTGGGTGCTGCTACTTCAGCAGTGGTTTGTGAGTGCTATGGCCCAGTGCTGTGACCCTCCAGTGCACCCTCTGGGAGCTCAGCAAGGTGCCCCTGCCATCTTTATGTTCTCAGTGAAGGTGGACTGCTGTCCAGGCCCCCAGAACTCCAACACCTGCAGCTAGTCTCATCGCTACTCACATAGGTGTTGATAAAATGCGAAGGTCCTATATGATTAGTTTGAGCCTCACTGCAACATAACAGGTGGTTTAATACAAAAACTAGTCTTTTCCTTAGATTCCAATTTTTGGAAGATTTTAAGATTTTATTTATTTGAGAGAGAGTGAGTTCATGTGGGGGGAGGGGCGGAGGCAGAGAATCCGAGGCAGACTCCACCCTGAGCATGGAGCCTGATGTGGGGCTTGATCCCTTGATCCGTGATCACTGTGATCAAGACCTGAGCGGAAACCAAGAGTCTGTTGCTCAGCCAACTGCACAGTCCAGGCGCCTCTTTTCAGTGCATTGTTACATAATCCTCCATATCAGCCAGGCTACATATTGCCATGTGTAAGACACCTGTTGCCACCTGTCTGACCTTGCCCATGAGCCTCTCCCCAACCTCTCTACTTTAACAGGATAGATTCCCTTTCAAGGTTCAGCTCAGGCCCACCTTCTTTATGCTTCTTTTCCCAGGCTTCTTTGGTTAATGTAAGATCACTACAGAAAGCAGCTTGTCCAGCTGACTTTGTGACAGCCGTATCCTTGTTAAGAAAGAACAGAGCAAATTTGCTATCTCTAGAAAGTCAACTGCCTTGGATAGGTCTTGAATAACTGCTCCCAACCACCTCCTTAACTAGAGCCATTTTAAGGGTAAAGGTGTGCCCCTGGCACTTTATCTGGTTCAGGGTCCTAAACAAGTTTTGCTCCAACTACCGATTTCTGGCAATCTTCATTAGGAAACCAGCTACTGAATAACCCTAGGTACACATCAATGGCCTATATAAACTTTATGGCCCCAATTTGTTGAAGGTACCAACTGAGCTCTTCATTGGATATGATGCATAAATTCTGGCACTGTTATATTACATGGCAAAACATAATAAATAACATTCAATCCTTCCATAGTATTTATATAATTGTTATTATGTTTTTTTTTTAACAAGACTAAGGAATGCTATGCCAAATAAGGTGAGTGTGTAGAACATCTTGTAGCTTCTGCAAAGGCAGAGTTAAATTTTACTTTCAAATTAGTCTTCCAATAAGTTTTAGTATGAACTTTAAGATGGAACAAACCCCAAGTAGTAAAAATCTTTTAAGAATTACACTTATATTCTGGGTGGACAAAATCATAATGGCCTAGAACAATGCACTAAATGCTGAGTGGATTTTTAATGCTGATGTTTTAAACTTTTCTTTGAGCTAAGATATTTTCCTCTCTGCACTTTATTTGGTTAAAAATGTGAGCTGTGCTATTTTTAGAATGAAATTCATACTTAATTTGCCTTTGTAGCACTGTTATAAGTGGAGAATAAAACCTATCCTAATTACTTACAATGAAATTATCTAATTGGGCTAACAAAGTTAGGATTCAGAAATGTTTTGAAAGTAAATGATGTGTTTCCCTCCTCTGTGAGCAAAGAGAGTGGACTTCATTTGGATTTGCAGAAGTTTCATATTTATATAGGACATCTTTCACTTGGTGCAGATGAAAACTCATTATGTCACTTTCCAGGGATGAAATTCATACTTTTTAATGTGATGTGCAAGGCCCTTCATGATTTGATCCTTGCTTACCATCATGTACTACACACTGAATCATACAGAACACTTGTTCCCTTCTGTCTTTTACTTAGGACCTTAGCAAGTGCTGTTCTCTCTGCATGGAACATTCTCCTTCCGTCCTTCCCTTCCCCCAATTTGTTAAAGGCTAATTCCCACAACTTCCTTAGACTAAAGACTGGTGTCACCTTCTCCAGGAAGTCTTTAAAATGAGACTCAAAATGCCACATTGTAATTAATGTCCACTCCCTCTTAGACTGTGAGCTTTTGAGGGCGGGCATTATGAGCTTTTTTATCTTTGTATTCTCAGCACCTACTGTGCTTTGCACACAATAGTTACTCAACTCAAGGCTTCTTGAATAATCTTACAGTTATATGATATTTAGTGGTCTTGTGCCATCTCCGAAACTGTAATTAACAAAGCAAATGTTAAAATTTTCTTTCCCCATCCTATTCCCAAATCCAGTATAAAAGAATAAAGTAAATCTAGGCAACTAACACA